GCAATCAGAGAAGAGTAACCAAGACACCCAGTGGTCTGGGATATCGGGGAACCAGCGCTGTCACTGCCAGTGGGAGGCCAAAAGTTTAAGTGTAGGTGAGGGGTGGGAAGAATTCAACTGAAAGTCTTGGGGCCCAAAAGCCTAAAAGCAAGGACCTCCAATAGAAAAAGGCAGGAGGAAATGAATGCTCCAGTTTTAGAAAAAATAGATGACCACTCACTCCTCTATCGTTTTGTTCCAGTTGGTCCATCAACAGAGTGAAGGATGCCCACCTGAACAGTCGGGTGGATCTCTTCACTTGGTCTGCTAGTTTTAATGCTAGTTTCTTTGGGACTCACCTCACAGAATCACCCAGCAATAATATCTTACCAGCTATCTGGGCATCTCTTAGCCCAGTCAAATGGACACATAAAATCAATCATTGTAATGGAAAAATAAGGCGAATGTAAATTTTTTTAAACTTACAGCAATAAAAGATGCTTTGCCATTAATCCACATCGGAATACCTCTCTCACTTCAGGTACCCTGATCCCGTACTCTTGCCACATCCTAAATTGCTTGTGGAAGTCCCTTTTCATGAGTGTCTGCAGTGAGCACAGCCCTGGCTACCTCGATGTTCTTAACAGGTTCAAAGCATTTATGTTTCATGATTATTTTCGTGTTACAAAAACCAGAATGCACACGGTGCCAGATCTGGTGAACAAAGGGGATGAGCACACACTGTAATGATTTTACAGGCCTTCCTCTCTCTTGCAAGGCACTTGGCAGCAATTTTCAATGTACTTTTGACCATACCTTGTAAAGACACAAAAGATTTCTGGAACTTCCTTGGCAAGTGGCATTATTGGTGGAATAAGTGTTTACACAAGGAAGGAAGAGTATGGTAAAGATTAATTGCAGTATGTCTTTTACAGTAATATATATATTTTTAAATTAAACATTTAGCATACGTTTTGATCACCGCTTGTTTATCTTAGCAGAGAACACTGTTAAGTACCCTAGACAGCAAGATCTGAACGTGAGTGAACATGGCCCTGGGAGACCCTACAAGACGGTGAAAACATGTATACTTCTGTAGCATGGGAAATATATAAAATCTATTTTCTCTTTTGGAGGGTGGGATGAGTGATAAACCTATTGAAATGTCAAAGATACTGCCACCGGAATAAAAAGGAAGGTGGGAAGTTTAGGAAGGAGGATGAGCCCAGAGTCATAAAATTGAGACAGAGACATTGAAAAAGTAATTCTTAGAGATTTGAAGCTGGGTAATATCACTAGAAAGATGTTTGGAAGCATATTTTTGAGATATAGAGAAAATATAAAGACATTAACAAAAAATCAGTCAGTGAAAAGATAGATGGGGAAGTTAACAAGGACGTTGTCTTGGAAGACAAAATGAGCTAGAACTTCCGGTTCGGGTAATCAAAATTGTGGAGAAACGTCGAAGAGGACCACAGTGTGTCACAAGGCAGAGATATAGCCTCGAGTAGGGCACAGGTAAGCTTTAAGACTGTACATACATGGCCAGTAGATGATGCATCACAAGTTGTCAGACTCGTAACACCAGAGAATTTGAATTAATCTATATGAGCAGCATATTCATATTGAGGGATACACCCTCTTCAGAAAGCGCAAGCAGAGGCAATAGATTAAAAAGCATTATTTTATATATTGAAAAGGAGAACTCTCACCCTAGTGAAGTACTGAAATATGACTTTAAGGTGAATGTTTTATTGTCTTGTGTTAGTAAAATCAGAAGCAGTTAGTATAAATAGCTCTTTTGAGGAGATCAAGCATGTATCAAGCACAGTTGTGTAAAAGGATGAATTTAGTAAATGTTAAGCATGATTAGAAACTTAAGAGGGGAAAAAGATTCATCCTTCAAAAGGTTCTGAGGGTGAAGTTGATGGAGAGTTATAGTTCAATGTCACCACTACCATAAAAATAAATTCTATTTTCATATTATATTAAATAAAAGCAATGACATGTAGAATTTAATAAAAATTGTAGAACACTTTTCATAAACAATAACAATACCTTTCTAAAGATGAACACAGAATAAGTCATAGCTACAGTGTTGAGTATCATTCAATAGTATTATGCACTAAAATGTAATTGAGTGCTTCTTATATATATAATACAGTTAGAAGTTCTTTGAATATTTATGATTTAGTCTTTATCACTCTAAAGAACAGCTAACTGGGACAATATTATTATTATCTCCATTGTATACAGTAGGAAACAAGCAGAGAGATGATATTTGCTCAGTATCTGACAGAAGTATACTATGAATTCAGACAACCTACACTTCTAATATCTGTGCTGAGGATGTTATGGGAACAAGATTGATATAGAGCCAGGAAATAGGTTCTCTCACTCCTTCCTCTGGTCAACTGATGCTTTTTTAGATTGTGTTCTCTTGTAGGCCACCAAGTCCCCAGATCTATGGATATCACTGCTATCAATCTATACTTCATTCATCCTGACATTGCCATTTCTCTTTCACATATCAAGATGAAAATTCTACTACCTAAATAAATCTCTACAAATGAAACCAATGAAATGCTGGAGTGCAACAAAAGATTGTTAAAAATGTTACATGGAACCTGTTATACAATTCTGCAACAGATGGTTCTTTACCCATCAAAAAAACAGAAGATCTGCTGTGTTACCATACAGTTGGGTTAGGCAATATTCCACTGAATATGAACATTTCTCCTTGTCAAAAATAAATCTTTTCTTCAAAGGAAGAAAGATAAGAGCTTTTGAAAATAATTGAGCTGGAATCCAAATGACGTTAGACGTATGCTAGCCGGGGACAACCTGGTCACTCTGCTCTGACTTCAAAGCAGCTGCAGGTTAGATGTAAGCACAGAAAGCTGTGGTACTGTTTCTCTCAGTGACTCGGGGAAGAATTTGCAAATTTTCTGCTGGGTTCTCTTTGTTTCTTTCCAATCTCTCTCATTTTATTTTGTTTCAGTTCTAATTTCCTGGAAAGCAAGCAAACAAACAAACAAAAACCCTAAAAACCCTAGAGAAACGTGCATCTGCGTTATTTAAATCCTACATCCCTATGACTCTTTCTGATCTTTTTCAGATTGCCCGTTGGTTTCTTCTATATTTTGAACATTATTTCAAATGTAGCTCAGGTTACTATTCAGCTTACCCCCTAGTTCTCTCCGAGTTATTCAGGGGCTCTTACCGAAAAACAAGAATTAATTCTTTTGTTCTGCCACTCTTGTTTTCCTTGGAAACCATATTCCAAAATTATCTAATACCACCATTTGTTCTTTTGTTTTTGTCTTTATTTTTCACCCCTTAAAGGGTCATAGAACACACTGTTTCATTGTCCACAAGTAGAAAAACTTATCACAAATGTAAGGAAAAATGTAGTTATCACAAATGTAAGGGGAAATTTATTACTTATCACAAATGTAAGGAAAACTTATCACAAATGTAAGGAAAAATTTAGTTAGTGATTTTCTGGGCAAAAGAAATGAAGAAGTTCTTCAGATATTAATGTATGTAAAATTTACTCCATTTTCTAGTCTATTAGCAGGCATCTATAGGGCCACCACAGTAATCACATTTATAAATAATAAATTTTAAAGCAGTGCTACTTACCATAAAAATATTTCTTGCTCTGTTTATTTTAAACCAGTTTTCAGCATTTTTTAGTATGTAGAGTACTTATATAGTAAAATTAATGAATAAATTGTAGTGCTTCAATGTAATCCTTCTGTAGGAAATGCAAGTGGATCTTGTTTGAAAGTATTTTGTTCACTTCACAGAAGTTCTCATAAAATGTGAACTTGTCCTTCAATGTGAAATTTATGGCAAAGAGAAATACCTTCTTTTTTTTGCATGCAATCTTAGGAAACCTACAGTCCTGCATTTTGTACTCTAGTTAACAAAGAGGAGAGAGGGAAAGATGCATGTCAGCTGACTGACGTTACTGAGCTCTATAGAAATGCTAATGGTGACCTATAACTGAATTTGGTGAGACCTGTGATGGATGTGTTTCCTATTATCTTTTATGTTTTTTTCTAACATGTTTGCAAACTTATTTCTTTCTCCATGCCAGTATTTCCTTCCACACTCTACACACCTAGTTGCATGGTCCATTTTCTACTTAGACCTATATAGATGGGGCAGTTAGAGACTCATTCCTAATATGACAATTAAGTGTATTACGCTCAAAATACTTGAAATGATTGTTCGTTTTCACTGTGATGTTACTTCTTACAGAATGAAAGAAGAAACACATTCAAATATGACTTATCAAATTTTTATTGTCATATTCAGGTTAAATTTCTGACTCATCGTGTTATTAATAAGACTACAAGTAGAAAACCTTGTTATGAATAAATGTCGTTAGACAGAATAAGACTTGGTGATCAGATATTTAAAAATATGGGTGTTTAAATCAAATACCTGATGTTCATAAATCTAATCATGCATACCATGCCTACTTTATTTTTTTTTTAATTATTTTTATCAGTATGGCATGGGTACTTTAAACTTGTTAAATTAATTACTTCTATGCATAAGTCAAAGTTTTACGTAGAGTAGTTGTAGTTAGTAGATAATGATTGACCACTGGGGAATATGATTATCTATATTTTCTCTTCTAAGCAAAATAACTATGTCGCCACATGTGAGCAGATATAATGGGAAAGGCAAAATGGTCATGAAAGAGAAGTGTAAAGAATGACATAAGCACTTAAGGATACAATCCATGTATGCAAATATAATTATTCCTAAAATGATTTCTGAGTATTTGACCTAATTAAATTTTATATGTCTTCTAGGCTTCCCTAGACAAGGGCAGAAATTGCCAACCAAGGAAGTCCCATTATTACCTAAAACCACAGATGAAATTGTTGACAAAAACCTGGTTTCCCACTTCTTATGCAGTGACAGTTACACAGACATGAACATTTACATCTGAAAATTTACACTGTATTATTTTTGTGTGTTTGTTTCTTTGTTTCCAATAGGCAGACCCACCTGCACCTGTGCACTGGGGTTTACTGGACCAAACTGTGGAAAGACAGTCTGTGAGGATGTTTGTCAAAATGGAGGGACCTGCATCGTGACTGCCGGGAACCAGCCTTTTTGCCACTGCCAGGCTGAATACACGGGAGACAGATGTCAGTACTGTAAGTGGAAGCAACTTCCAGAAGCCCATTTGATAGCCTGCTTTGATGCTTACATTAAGTGGTTTTCTCAGTACTCTTCCATTGCCCTCATTTCACGCACCTTCTACTTTTCAGGCTCAGTCCTTCTTATCCTTCAGCAATTATTCACATTGATCCTCAATCTTTGCCTGAAGATTTGATCCTTCTTCTTCCCCAGCTTAGTTCCGTAGCCCATTACACTAATCATTCCCTTGTGTACACCTCAGCCTCCCTGCTATCTCTTGTCTTTTGTTACACTTTCCTGGAAAATCATTACCACGGTAGTGTTTTATCTCTCCTGATGTGGTCCCCACCTCGATGAATGCAACTGAAGAAAAATGCATAAACTTTCCCAATGAACCTTTGAAATTAATCTCAGATAGGCACTTAGTCCAGTTTTTACATAGTTCATAAACCATTGGTTCTTCTATTCTAAATGTGTGTGTCCTGCCTTCTCCTTTGTCCAACACCTACTTTATCTCCATCCTTATGTTCTTTATGTTAGTGATAAAAGAGACACAGTATAAAGGGAGGGCCCACAGTCTCCCACCAGACTGTTCTCCAAGACACATAATCCTATGACAATATACCAGTCTTTTTCATATTACCAGGATCCCTGCTCTATGCAATACTTCTTCATTCGTTCATGCATTGGCCTCACATCTACTCATAGGTGTGTCTCCTGGAGTTGTCCCGTTCTTTCTTCCTCATTAAGTATTTTCCTCTCTCCCGCATTGCACTCTGAAATAACCTTCCCGTGTGCCCCTATCTTTCCCTAGTTTCCACCTCATTTCCCTGTGCCGTCTCCACTTTCCTTGTATTTAATAGAAGTGTTACTCAAATATGTTGTTTTCCATATTTCACCCATTTCTATTTTTCCTTTGAATCCTCTCAATTTTTTGTCCTTATCATTCTGACGACTTTAATGAAGGTCAAATTAATTAATTTTGCTTATATTCTCTATGTTGCTATAACCAATGGTTAATTCTCAGTTCCTATTTTACATCTATTTTGAGCAATTCTGTTGTTTCATAAAATACACATTTGATATGCAAACGGGGTTAAGAAACACTGCCTAGATGATTTCATGGACATGTAATGTTTCTAGTAGTATCCAAATAATGATGCTGAAATTGCACACCCAGTTAAATCTGTCCTCTGATATGCAGATTTTGTCTGTGTGACAGCTTGACTTAACTCTAAATTAACCTAATTTTCTCACACATGATTTCTTTTATGTAGTCTCTTCTACCCCTTTATTTTATTTTTTTATTTTTTATTTTTTATTTTTTTGGTTTTTCTCCAATACCGGGAACTGAACTCACGACCTTGCGCTTGCCAGGCAGGCACTTTGCCGCTGAGCTAAATCCCCAGCCCTCTTCTACCCCTTTAATAGAGTGTTTCTTGATGCCTCTTTTCCTACCACATCTTGTTTTCACCTTTAAAATATGTCCAGAATTGAGGCTGAGGATGTAGCTCAGTGGTAGAGTGTTTGTGTAACATGCACAAGACCCTGAGCTCAATTCCTTGTACCAAATGTATCTGCAGAATTGGAAATCTCCCACTGTCTGTATTCTCACTATCCTCATGCAAGCTACAAGAACCTTTTAATGAATTATTACAAAATTATCTGTACACTGTCTCATTTTTTCCTTACTATCTGTTGTCAAAAGAAAGGTCATAGCTGTCATTTTTATTCATAATAACAAATTGTTTTCCCTCTTAATCCCATTGAGATCTTTGGACACATCAGTACACTAATAATTACAAGATTTCCTTTCATTAATTCTATTAATTTATTTAATGTTGGTAATGAATTAGGTTTTCTGTTCTAATTCTGTTGTAGAAGATAATACAGACAAGGCATAAGTAGCCTTGTGAATATCCCATCCACTTCGTAATTGTGAAAACTAAGTTTCAAATTCCTTCAGTCCAGCGTCAGGGCTCATGCCTCTAAAAGTGATTTAACACTTTGGTCTGTAGATCATTTGCTATTCCTGAGAACTTCACAAAGAGTGGCTTCAATCTCTGGTCACTGTGGAAAATACTTGGAACCTTACAGAATTCAGCTACATGTACTAATTTATTTGAGAATCAAGCATAAGACTAAATATCTTGCCACTAATATTATAGCATTACCACTTCTGCGGCAGCATGAAAACACATTTAATTTTACCCTACTGTTTTCTTTCCAAAAGTTCATTCTCAGAGGAGGCCAGCCTCTCATTTTGACGTGTATAGATGCCCATGCCCTAAGTCAGATGTCCCTTTTCACATTACTTCTCCAACTTATATTTTAAACAATATGCATCCCAGTACAACACTCTGTTTGAAAATAACATGCTAGTTACACAGTGTGAATCTTTACATGCTGCTCACTTCTTTATCTCTGTCCTCTCCTCTCTTCACCAGAGTAGAAGATTCCAGCACAACTTTTTTCTGCTAACTCAGTGGTTTTCTCCTTCCTTCCTTCTGTTTTTCCATTGTCACACACCCTAATGGGTTCCATGCAAATAGAGGACAATGCCAGCTATTATCCAAAGTAACGAAGACCTGCTTTACCATCCATCCTAAGCTTGCAGGTCCCATTTTACTCTAATAAAGCCACAGGGATAGCTCTTCATTATATAAATGCCGACTTCCCTGGCATGAGGAATACGTCAAGCTTAGACCCTTCTGTTTCTTTTTAAAAATCATTCATATATTATGAATTAAGCTCTCTTTCTGAGTTTCTAACTGCTTTCGTTCATTTCTTCTGATTATATTTTTGTCAAGTGTGTACAGACATCCCATTTGTCTGGGGCCTGCTCACAATCATACTTAATCAATAGCACTTGTTGAATAACAACCACTAAACCAATAACAGAGGTAGATAAGCAAATGAAAGCAGATTGAAGAGAAAAATTAATGAAAGGAAATTAATGTACAAAGACTACCATCTGGTGTATGTGTGTTTGTTAATGTAGAGCTAGTGTTTACTCTTTTTTTTCTCTTGGTTCCCAATATCATGCTATTTTCTTTTCTTTTTTTATTACTTTTCCTTTTTTTTTTTTTTTTTTTTTTGGTACCAGGAATCAAATTCAAGACCTTGTGCTTGCCAGGCAGGCACTTATGCCACTGAGCTATATCCCTGGCCACTCTTTTTTTATTATTTTTAAATGAAATCATCTGGATTTTTGATTCTCCTCTAACTAAAATGAAAAGTGATATAGCCATCAGTGTAGAAATGTGTATTCTTCCAAATAATACATTGAATTAGGCTATATTTGAATTGGCAACTTAATAGAACCCCAGTCTGAGGAAGCCTGATGCTTCATAAAAGGCTGCATTATACTTTTTATCACTACTAGCAGTCAGAGAACTTCCCACATTTTACTGCAAAACACTTATTAAAATTAACCAATTAGTCTTTAGACAGAGGTTAAATAACTTGTTCAAGGTCCTGAAGCAGTAATATTATCATCAGAATTGGACCCGAGGAGTTGTTGATCAAAATGTCAACAGAAATTCTAACAGTGTGGTGGTGCTGTTCTTTGGCAGTAAAATAAATCTGTGGACAGCATCATTAAAATGACATATCCTACAGCGTAATAAATTTAAGATCCATTACAAGGTTCAGTGGACCTGGTGTTCTGTCAAAACTGTATCTAGCACGTACAACATCTTTTCTCTTTAAATGAAGGAATGACAGGATGGTTCATTATGATGCCTAATTAAAGGTCCATTAGTGGGAGGTAAAACATCACTTCTTAGTTGTGCTGAGTAAAAACATTTCAGAGCTCTAATAGTAATATAAAATCCTGAGGTCTGAAATGCAAATTAATTTAACAACAGCAGCCCAGTGAGGACAGACAATGATAAATAATGGCAAAATTAAAATTAAATAAGCTTTAAGCTGTTCAAGAACAAATATAGCTGCATTTCACACTATTCAGAAGCTAGACTTCCTAGTACAAATAAATAAGCAAGCATAGCATTTTGCATTTCAGTGTAGGTGTAAAGTGGGAGGTCAACAATATCTGACATTAGTTTTAATTAAACTATACTAATATTAGGGGAAAAACATCAGTTGGGACAAACTCCAACTGTATCTTAAAAAGCAGGTAGGCAAATGACAGCTTGCTGGTCCTCTTACTGATATTTTTGAAGTCCTCTAGTAATCTTCTTGGGGAATGGTTATAATTTCAATTAAGAGTCAATTTATTGGAATTGCACTTGCATAGCTCATTTCTACTGATTCAAGTTACTTCATACATTTAATAGAATCTCTACTTTAGAGAGTTAGGTGCATCTGACAAGAATCTGAAGGTACAATGTGTTATTATATGTATTAAAACTGTAGTCTGTCAACTAAATTCTCCAACTGCTGCAGACTTTCTATATGAAACTAGTGTATTTAATGACATAATGAGATTATTTTACTATTTTTTCTAACATAGCTTTGTTCTGTCTGCAATTCAGAGAATGTGCTTTAGTGTTTATGAGTTTGCCGTTATGTTAGACCATTGTGTGTGATTTAGAATAAAGCAAGTTATTACAAGGCAGTGTGAGGAAGCACAGAGACTAAGAACACAGAGTTCAGCCTATGGGAGTGATATCCTGAAAGAAACTGTACTAAACTGGGACTGGAAAAAAGATAAATTAGCCAGATGAAAAGAGAAAACACAGGCTGGCGATTTAGCTCAGCAGCACAGCGCCTGCCTGGCAAGCACAAGGTCGTGAGTTCAATTCCCAGTACCAGAAAAAAAAAAAAAAAGAAAAGAAAAGGGGAAACCTTTCCTAAGGACAATAGCATATGCAGAAGTCCAAAAGAGGAAGCACTTTGAACTTTGTCTTTTCTTTTACCATTTGATTTTCCTTGGAAAAGACTGACGAGAATACTGAGCATATACAATTCTTTGTTCATAGAGATACATGTGATGATATATATCAGTGAATGTATAGCAAGTCAGACAAACTCATGCCATCTGTGAGAATAATAT